CGCACTCTCTCCTTAGAGTGCTGATGAATCTATCCATCAGGAGTTGTTGATGGACCTCAACGTAGTTTTTCGATGCTTTGTCTCTTCTTGGGGTCATTGGTGACGGCGGTTTTTGCAACGTTGACATGGCGGCCTTTGTGATGGTGTCCAATAATGCTTTCCATTTTTCATTGGTGCTCATCCAATTTGCTAGGTTTTTTTCTACCTATGTTGACATTCAAAGCTCGTTGATACTTTTTTCTAGTTTCCTCATCGTTATTGCGTGCATCCACATCGAACTTTGGACGCTTCGCTTCAGCGCGAGTAGATGTTGAACTGACGGGAGTTGAACTTAAATTCGGATTTTTAGCTTTTTGAATTCCTATGAGCACCTTGTGGTCACTCAGCTTGGTAGGATGAACAAATGCCTTAACCTCTGGATGTTTGTAGTATTTCATAATGCTCATTAACACGTGATCGATTTGTGACTCGCTTTTACTGTTAAGTCAAGTGACTCGTACTGAGGGTAATTTGGAATACGTTCCTTCAACTTCAAACAGTGCAGAAGATTCTTCAATTCCAACCGTTTGTGTTGCATTCTTGGTGTAGTAGGTTCGGATCAATGTAATTTCTATCGTCATCCTTTATGCTCTGTATACCTAGATTGTATACCTAGATGAGCATTGAAGTCTCCGATAATCACCTAGAAATGAGATATGTAAATGGGCAAGTCATGTTCCGAGGTTCTATTTAGGTTAGGTGTGAAAAGTTGAAAACATTACTATTTTGTTCTGCAATTAGTTGGGTAAGTTAAGTATGTGAATTAAGGCAGCGGATTCTCCATTATATATGTTGAAATGAATATATTCTCCCGATGGATTGTTTTATCGATCACTATGACTGTTCCTCCTCCTTCTCGCTGACGCGTGGTATCGTCGTTGTTGACATTGTACCATATATAATTTTCTATTGTCATCGAGCAGCTAGGACATCTCGATTCTTGGATTGCTGCCAGTTTGAGTATTTCATCCACTTGTTCCGTTTTTCACTCATTGAACATCCTCTAATGTTCCAGGTCGCGAATTTGAACATATTATTTTCTAGCTGTTGGGATGAGTCATTGTTCGGTCCTTCAATCACTCCGCTGTGGTAGCTTATTTGAGAGGATTTCTCTGACATGCTTCTATAGTGCTAAGAGGTACGTTGAAGGTTCGGTTTGTAGTTGTGCTATGTGTGCTGGTGGGATGAATGTTATTAACATTCAACTTTTGTACCACACTGTCGTAATGATTCCGGCCATGATTCATTAGACTGATACAAAATTTAAAATTTTCGCTCCACAGTGCTCAAACAGTTCCAAACCGGGTCCTGATTAGCCTTCCAAAATTTGAACTTATTTAGTAAGAAACTGACTTGGCACAAACCATTCGAAGTTTATATGGAAATTACTATGGAGAATCCAACTTTTTCGTTCATATCCATCTATCAATTCACCATACCACTCTGCTATAGAAAATAATAACTGTGCTTGTAGGAAATTTCCGCTACAACTTTGTTGAAAACCACTTTTCGATAAAATTTAAGGAACAAAAGTTATTAATGATTCAAGTCACTGATGTCTTATGATTATGCTCAATCAACTGTTAAGCAGGCAACATTGGTGTTTACGGCGCGTAGAATACAGGACAAAAAATATGGCTACTATGCCACACTGCAGAATACAGTCTTGCCCACAAAACAGCTGCTGAATCATGCCATAAGATTATCAATCTCTTAAACAATTAATAACTATTTAATTTGTCGTTTGGCTGAAAAACAAGCAAAGTTGTAGCTGAGTAAATTTGCTATAAGAATAGTTATAGAACTTTTTGACAGTGCAAAATGGGAAAAGGCTAGAAAACAATGAATAGAAAGTTTGTTTTTCCTATAGTAATTTCCATAGAAACTTCAAATGATTTGTGCCTTGTCAGTTTCTTAAAAAATTAGTGCAAATTTTAGAAGGTTGATCAGCATTCGATTTGAAATGTTTTGAAACTGTAGAGCGAAATTTTCAAATTTTGCATCAGTCTAATGATTCATCCTTGTCGGTACCGAGAGCCTATAGGCGATTATTATGACTATTGATTGCGGCTCCTTGGTTAAACGCATGATGTTTCCGCGTCGCGTCGATCCGTTTGTGCCACATTTGAGATGCGGCAATAAGTGTTTCAATACCTCCCCATTCTGCTGTCGTCGCTAGATTATGTAGGAAAACGTTGATTTTTTCCTCTTGCGTGTTTCCTGGAACGGTTATGTCGGGATCCGTTATATGGGCCATCAACATATCGCGAAATGACTCCATGTTGTTTGTTATGTATTGTTAGGATAACCCGAATAGGTTGTTAGGTACTTTTTATGGTTACCGTTCATGTGGGTGTTTCAAAGCAATTTATATCTAATGAACTCTCTATGCGACCCAACCCGTCTTTAATGTTGAGAAATTTGTGTACTTTATCATGAGTGATCACGTATCCTGCCATCTGACATAAGAATGATGGACCCTCGCTCCGGGATGTCTTCAAACTGGAGCTTCAGAGCGTTCACAATCCTTCCAGATGACAGTCTGCTCAGCATCCGAGAGGATATGGTTTGTAATATGACATAGAAAATGACAAAAAAGGGAAAACAGAGAAAACCGAAATATTAGCAATAAAACAAAGAAAATAATACAAGCTGAACACTGCATAATGTCCCAAGCAACATTGACAGACTTTCATTATCGACCTCCTCCCTGCATCCCCACGACCACGAAAAGACATTTTCATCCATTTGCAGTGCACTGTTCGATATATGCAGTTATCGTCTAGCGCATTAAACGGAAAGCACGAAAAGAAACGACCTTGTAGCAAAGTTATTAACAAAGGAGCAAATCGATAAAGAGACTCGATCAATGTCACGCACTGCTCAGCTTTTATAAACAATATCACATCATTAACCTATTTCCGTACCATTTCGGCAAGGGATTAGCTATGTCACGAGAAATTGAAGAAAAATCAACCCTCACTTTTACCTTTGCCGCGTGCTTCCTACACCTATTGCTGAGCATGTTAAAGAACTCTATGCACCTCCCGCTGTTGAATTTAATTCAACATAATATAATTTTCATTTATATATCCCTTTTTAGTCCAGGATCTAGTTTTAGTCTAGCATGTAGTTTACTAGAGGTAGGTCCGGTATCAACGGCTAGTGCAATTGTTCATTGTAGCACAAATTCACCAGCAAGCAACGCGTATCAAATCCCAGCTGATATAACGGGTGTTCAATAAAAAATGAGAATGATTTCAGTGCCGTCCAGCGCTCTTGTGAGAGAATCGCGACTAAGTTGCGTCGTACGGCTGACCAGGGCCCCTTTTCTAATATTCATTGACGTTTTTTTGAAGAATAAACATTATGTTTTTAATAAAAAATACTGAATTCGTTGAAAATAAAAAAAAAAATTACTAGCTATATGACTGAAAAAAAATCTCATTTTTTATTGAACACCTGTTAGGTATTAAGCACTAGTTTAATTATTTATACACTATTTACACTTGACTATGAACATTTCTATGGCTACCTTTCGTAAGCGTTGTAGTTGTTTTTGTCTTTTTATCTACTCACCAATGGTGACAGTACTTCAAACCTGTCACTCTGTCGTTTTCGGAGCGGCCACCGGGTGGTGTTCGATGCTGTTGGTTCGCAATGTATGCCGACGTTGAAGGTGAGCGCGCTGGCCTAATGGGGTAGGCCAACACCCTCCCTTCTTGAAGTGTAACGTAAACAATGGATTTGCCCTTGACTGGTAAGGACCCAAGCAATGAATGTTACTGAAATATGTTGCATACACGTATCCACAACTGTTCAGTGACAAGTGTGCTGCTTGGGGAGTCGCTGATATGAAGAAAAAAACATTCAAAGCTAAAACATAATAAAAAACAAATATTCAATTTTTCCGTTCGTTCTATTCTAACAACCTTGACTTGACAACCTATTCTAACAACCTTGAATTTTGTTATCAATGTGTATGATGTGTGTGCTTGCGTGTTACTCACTAAATTCTATCGGCAACTTCCGAACCGATTTAAGTTGAACAAGTTACAGTGTGTGTTTGTTGAACTCCTGTAAAACCTTATCAAATGTTTATCCCGATATCTGGCTCCGGAGATTTGCCCAAAAATGTGATTTTTTTTAAGTAAATCAGTGCTCCTCATAAAACTTTCTTGACAATGGCTGAATCGCGTCGAGTGCAACTGATACCATTTTATTTGTATTTATCATATCATCCCAAGCGGACATTTAATTCCGGAGATATGACCAAACAAGTGGAATTTTGTAGTAAAACAGAACTACTCACGGCGATGACTGAATCGATTTGAGTGCAACCGGTTCTATGGTGTTTTTATCTTCCATGTAACCCTATTGAATTTTATCCCGATCGGATATTAGGTTCTGGAGATATATCCAAAAAACGAAATTTTGCAGCAAAACTGTAAAACTTACCTACTTTCCTCAGTAATGGATGAACTAATTTGAGAGCAACCAGTTCTATTTTGATTGTATCTATCTCCCACAGAACACTAATGCATTTCAATTCGATAAAACATTTGGTTACGGAGATATGGCAGAAATAAAATTTTGAATAATCAACCTACCGGTGACAAATGCCTGCCTTGAATAATGTTAAATAGCTTCATTTCATAATCATGATAATTATCACAGAGGCACTCCAGATCAGGTTAGTTTAGGTTATCTTTATTAGGAAGACTTTCAACACAAATCCATTGAATCCTGATGAATGTGGGCGTCTATTATTTGAACCACGCATCCTTAGATTATTCAGAACGGTTTGCAACAATTCAGCGTAGCCCAAAATTTAGCGTAAGGAATTTTCACTGTGGTATTCATTATTTCTAGCCAAGAATGTTAATTGAGTATATAAGTAAATGTCTCATCGTAAACACCCAAAATGTTGTATAATAATTATGACTTTTAAAAATTTACAGGGACTCTCCAAAGCTCAAAAAATCATCCAGTGCATCATCTGCAATCAGCAACCTGTCAGAAACTGGATCTTCATCTGTCGGAGCCAAACGGCGTAGTGAATCTTCTTCATATAGTGAGGAATCTGACGCTGACTCTAGCACTAGTACTTCGCTTTGCGATGATGATAATCAACTACTTAGTGCATCGTCCTTGGAGGCTTCACCGATGAAACGACGATTAACACCTGACAGTATCAAAGAAGTGCCTGGCGAAGATCAATTGGTTGTGACTTCCGAGGATGCTCACTATACTGAGTTCCCTGCTCTAGTTGATATACCACGAATTGAAGCTACATTACCGGACATCGCTGAAGAGAGTCACTCTGAGACGCAAAGTAGCTCTACTGAAACGAAGCCCACTATTAGTACGTTAGATAGCCAAATCATAGAATTATCGGAACGTCCAGAGAAAGCTAGAACCAAACCATTGGAACTAGCACTAAGCACTCAACGCGATACATCTTTCTTAATTGCTATCACCAGTACCAGTCAACTGTCTCCGATTCCTGATATTACTCATTACGTAAGTATGTCTACTATCAGTCCCCTGAGAACTCCATCTTCCATGATGGACTACTCAGACTACCTTAACAACATTCCTAGCGAGAACACAATTACCGTTGATGCCGTTGTCACCGATTCGAAGGATAAAGAATCATTCAATGTAGATGAAAAAGGCGTTACAAATCAGCTATTTGAAAGAATCAACGCAGCCGAGAGGCCTAACAAACTGGACCTGAACGTGATAAAGGAACGAAAAGTTAGTGAATCTCTAGTTAATACTACAGAAAGTGTTCTAGACCACAGTGATGCAACATCAAAACTAGATAACTATAGCTTTACAAATGTATCCAATAGATCATCAATGTCTTCATCGTTCGTTTTAGAGCTACCTGTAAGAAGTAGTCTTCAACAGGATTCTCCCTTACTACCACCAAATACCAATCTCTCAATAATTCCATCGGAAAAGTCTCCGGTCATTCATAAAACACATATATACCAAATTGCAGATACAATAGCTCCATCACCCAAAGAATCTCCTGAGGAGATGGACAAATATCTAGCAAACCGTGTAAAATTTTTGAAAGAGAAGTCATTTTCCATGGATGATCCCATTAAAGGAGATGATTTGTACCTTGAAGACATTTCGAAGCGCTCCGCATCGGAAGGCCTCGTATCTGTGGACATAAATGCTTATAAGAGTAATAAAATGTCTGAAATTATTAAAGAAAACTCATTAATTTTGGGACGAATAATCAGGAAAAACAATCAGGTAGATGATAGCCATACAGCGGAAACTTCTAAGCAAGAAGAACAATTTGTGCAAAGTGATGAAAAGTCCTCAAGTCCACAATACAATGATGAAATTATTGACCTAAACCTAGCACAAGAGGTCAATGAGTTATTGGAGAAGATTCATGCTAAAAGCTTACCTGAGATCACCACACCGGTCAATACCGAAGTAGTAAAACTGATCCCTAAAATCGATAAGGTTGAATCTCCCTCGCACTTGATCACATTTTCTACTAATATACTCTCAAGCGAAGTGATACAAACTGCATCAACAGTTGATGAGTCCAGCCACGAGAAAGTAAGCATTTCTCCACTAAGGACTGATACAGAGCAGCAAAATTCAACTAAACCTAAAAGTGTTTCCTCTAGTAATGAATGCCTTATTGACGAGTCTCCAAATTCGCTCGGTATTTCTAAAACCGATCTTGTGATCAAGCGCACTGAAGAGCAGTTGGCTCGCTTCAAGGATCCGGAACCCACTTACTACGTACGAAAAGACAACTTCCGAGAGATAATTACTCCAGAAGAAGAAAAAAATATACCAGTAACCAGCAAACCCGAAGAAACTCCCAAAAATTCCGTTGATCAAGTGTCTGACAAATCGTCAAAAAAAACCGTTGAACCCAAACTGCAAGCGATTGAAACTAAAAAAACAATTAACGCAGATGTTAAAGAGCGCTCAAAATCTCCAGACGAATCACGAAAATCAACGGCATTTACTGTGGTGGATACACAATCGGCCACTCCGTCTAAAACGGATGCACTAATCAAGAAAACCGAAGAACAATTAGCACGGTTCAGAACCGACAGAAACGTACTGGAGAAACTTGAAAAACGTCTGTCGCTGATAGATTTTAAAGTCGACGAAGCGCCTAGCACAGTAATGCTGGATCGAAAGCCTTCTAACAAGACGGAGGAAATCATTAAGAAATCAGAAGAACAAATTTCACGCATAAAAATTGAAACTCCGTTTATAGCTAAAAAATCTCCTACAAGATTGGTATTGGAAGATTCGGTGACCCCTGAAGCGAAATCCACCATTTGTTCGTCTAAGACTGAAGAAATAATCAAAAAGACCGACGAACAGTTGGCCAGATTTAAAGCAGCCGCCGAAAGCAACGCTGAAAAGCGAAAGAGTCGCCATGAGATCGATGAGCTGCTGCAACCAAAGCTTGAGTCTCCAGATATATCCAGTCATTCTTCTGACAGTATTAAATTTGATGACATTTCCGTACGCGATCATGATGAAGCAAAAATTATAAAACATGCTCAAGCTGAGATTTTGAAAACAATAAAAATTCCAGAAGAAGTGAGATGCTCTAAAACGGATGAAATAATCCGACGAATTGAGGACGGAAAGTTGAAACTTGGCGATGATTACATAACCACTATCAAAACCATTGACTATCTCAAACAATCAAATGCCAATCTATCAGCTACATTGTCCTCGATAGAAAGCTCTATCAAAGCCATTGATGGACTCTGTGATCATGATTCGGACATTCAGTCCAACCGAATTAACGATACTATCGACAATCTTGAAAAGTCCTTGAAACAATTTGATAACTTAAGTTCAGAACCTCCACTTGTAATGGTTCACGATTATTCAAGTACTCCGCATGAAAGCCGTTGCAGGCCTGCCGTATCGAACAGACCAAGTAGACCTCGTAAACGAAAGGAATATTCGCCGCGTCGAAAGAAAGAGAAAGATCGCGATGAAAAGCCAAACATCACGTACCACAATGAACACAGCTGTGAATATTCCTCAGATAGTCAATCTGTCGAACGGGAATCTCCTAAGACCTATACTTACCACTCGTACTATAGCACTTCTCCACCCACCACGCCAAGGGCTGCCTCACCAGTTAAAAAGTTGCCCGAGCCCCTAGAAGCCATGCGGCCATCTTCATTCAAAAGTGTTTCCCATGATCGATACCTTTTGCAACGGGATACTCAGTTAATCAAATTTGACAAGTCACCTTCATCGCCTATTATCAATAAATCATATCTCGAGTCGTTGAAACCAGCCACTCCAATCGCTTCAGGACGTACCACACGATCAGCCGAAAACTCACCTCCTTTCTATCAGCAACAACCGGTGTTCCCTGCATTTTCTCCTCACTTAGTAAGCGTCGCTCAACACGGGGGAGCTCTGCTAAGACATCAAGTAGGCCACGATGGAGAAAATTCTCACATCAAAAGTTGTGAAAATCTTCTTATGCGATTTGATTACAAGAATATATCGGCAATTGCGGCCAGTTTCCCGGTATCCAGTGCTCTTTCACCGTCGCCAACCAAATTTCGTAGTCTGGATTTCAAGCACGACGCTGCACTGAATTTCAGTCTGACCTCGTCGCCAAATAAAACATTGAACTAGACATGCGTAAGACAGTTGAATGTAGAAAAAACTGTTTTCTCTGTGATATATAACTAGCTATTAGAATTTGTGTGCCGTATGGAGTTTTAATTAATAAAATTCGATTACCACTAGGCAAATATAGATTAACTCAAATGCTTTAAAATAAACGACATTGTACGTTTAGGCAATAGGCTCAGCAAATTTTTAATATTGTTTATTTGTCCACACATCGTTTTGGCTGCAAGTGCTTTTTAATGATATTTATTTGCATTTTCTTAAAATCTAATGAATTCTTGCATTTTTAGTTATCTCAAAATTGAATACCTGATTCATAATATTGCAAGAAATTGTTGATACCATCAGGTTTTCATGCGAATAATGGCTATTATGTCTACTATTAGTGCTGAATCTGTCATTTTAAGTTGAACGTTCGTTAAAAATTACCGAAGTCGGTAATAATTTCTAAATATATGGTCGCAGTCGTACGGCCATAAAAAGAGAACAGATGGTATAATCCCATTTTGAGAAATTATTCTGCCACACACAATATATAATGGTGCACTTTGTTCGATAAATTATGTCTACATCATAATAACGCTATTACTACAAGACATCTGTCGTATTGGATGATTGGACGATTTTACATACATTGGTTGGTTGGTTGGTTGGTTTCGTGGTTCAAAATATCGATTTTGTTCCACCAAGCTCAATCGATTTCAAATCAGGTCCTCATAATTCTCCCAAATTTTGAGCTCATTTGGATGTGAACTCATACTGCACTGGCCTTTTGAAGTTCATATGGGAATTAAAATTTTTATTTTTAACCACCCTAATGTCTACGTTTTCAAAAGAAGAAATGTTTTTGAATTTAACTAATTTGAGGACCACCCTATCGTTATTAATCACAAAAAGAAGGGACCCTTAAAGCACAAAAACTTCACCGAGGAAGCCAAACGTATACATTTAAGATACTTTTATTTGTGGTGTCTTCGGTGAAGTTTTTTAGTACATTTTATTTAAATTATTCGTAACGGTAGCTCTCTGAGATCCATCTTTCGCCAGTAAATCTTTTATTACAAAATTTTCATGAAAGTCATCATTAAGAGACTTTTGAGGCTTCTTAAGACGCATGTTTTGCAAAAAAAAATGTCTGTATCTCTTTTTATAAAAAAAAAGCTATTCCTATTTATATTTTTTAATGAATAATCTTCAAGATAGATGTTTAAAGTATAGTTTGGTGCAAGAAGACCACTGAAAAATTACATTGGTTTCATAGAACATTAGAAAGACTTTCAAAAAGGAGGTTGACAAAATCGGGTCATTACTGTATTACATTACAAAATTCCCATTCTGGACCACTGTGTATTGTGCACCACTGCCCCCAATTTTTTTTCCGCGGTATTTTTTTTTTTAATTTTCTTTATCTATGATGAACTTTGAAGGTTTTTGTGAGTACTATATTTTTCTTTTAAATATTTTTGATCTTTCCAAACCAACTGCATTAAATTTAAATTTCATTTGAAGACCACAAGAGGAAAAATATGACCGCTCATTAAAAAAAATTGCTGTATGCTGGCTATGAAACGGTCAATAGCATGTTTCCAAAATATTCTTCCGGTTTTACTTTTTAACTTGGATTCTTAAGAACCATGTCCTTTGAACTCTTTTTAAACTTAACTGCTGAGCAAAATTGTTCCAACCTGCAACACAATTTTAAGGAAGAAGTGAACTACAACTACATACAACGCTAGAAAATAGTATATTAGGTTCATCATGAAGTTCATATTCTTATGAAAATATGATAAATCGAACCAGTCTCAAACTGACAAAGAAATGAATCTCATTCGACAAAAGCAAACGTGTTTGTTAATATAGTGAATATGTATTCTTGACCTCTTTTGACATATTGTATCTAAATAGTACGATAAAAAGCATGTGAGGTATGACACGTAACCGAAGAACTTGTGACATTGAGATTTCAAACTGTTTGTTTACTATTGACGCGTGCATGATAGCTTTACCGTTAGTTCATTTTTACCCCCAGTAGAATAATGTATTAAGATTTCAAAAACAAAACAAACGATTTCGAAATGTATGACATGCGAGAATGCATAATAGGGCATTATGTTAATAGTTGCAACTGTATTGTTCAAATTTATTGCAATTTAAGAATATTTCGTAATTATTATGTTTTGTATCGGAACTGTGAACACGTGAATCAGCGATTAATGAAAATCAAGGAAATGCATGAGTACGAAATGCAAATGATCTTAAAATAAGATAAATCTGCATTTTATTTCTAATCCGAAAACTTTCCCTCAGGATCAGTCTAGCTTCAAAGATGTGGGTGGAACAAAGTACTATGGTCTCTTAAAACTTTTTTTATATTTTATGAATTTTGAACTGGTTTCGAAGATGTATGGCCAGAACATGTTCTGGTTTGTAAATGCCATTAAACGATTAAACTAAATGCGGCATGAAATGAAAAAAAAAACATCACATGACACATCAAATTACATGAAAACCAGTTCAATAGTAGTAATCATCAGAGCACTGGCCACATCCAGCCATGTTCTGGAAACCCCGGCACCAATTTCTAGCTAAGTAGGGCTAAAATCCATCATGCGTTACCTTAAATCACATGAGAATAATTCTATCGTTTCTCATCGTATGAGCACTTTATTAGGAATTTTTATTAGCAATAAGGGTCAGACTTTATCAATAGAGGATTAATTCAGGCTTTTAACTATGTTCTCTTTAAAATCGTGGGACAAAGTTTTACCTGTCCCACTCAGGTATTTTGGTGCGTATGACACACCTGTCCCACCTACTCCTCGCCTGCCCCGCGACTCCCCCCCCCCCCTCCCTAAACTCAGCAACACAAAGGCTTTCGGGGAAATGGCCCAACATCCAGGTGGAGTTATTAAATAAATTAAATCAAAGAATAAATCGAAGAATTAAACTCAAGAATTAAATTAAAG